CTCAGGAGAAAGTCCATTTTCCACTGGAGCAGAGTGGATGGGTACCATGACATGCTAGCCCAGGGGTAGGCAACCCCTAGCACGGGTGCCAGAGCATGGTACTCGGAGGCATTTTGCTTGGCCTTGGGTTGGACGGCAGGGAAGGGATCGGGGCCGTGCAGCCATAACAAGAATTGGGACCCTCACGGCTCCCCCGCTGTCTGCCCCTGGCACACCAACTTCTTACAAGTCGAGGTTGTGGGTGTTTGTGGCACTCTGCCCCAAAATGTTGCCAACCCCTGTGCTAGCCTGACACTTTAGTAAGGGGTGGTTGGAGAGTATTCGTAGTACAGGCCCCTTCTCCCCCTGCACCCCTCCCCTGCCCCAAACTGAATTGTTCATGCCAGGGTATACTCGTGTGCTTTGTTCCACAATGCACCGTGGCACCTGCGTCAGCTCTTTCAACAAGATCAGTTACTCCCTTTAAGCAGGAACACCTGAAGGTTCAGTGCAAAGTTTTGGATGCTCAACACTTACAAAATGCTCTAACATCTTTTTCCTGCATGCACATTTTGTTATATAGAGTCCAAAACACGCCCCCCCCCCAGCTTTTATCATGATTTTCTCAGGCACCTCTTGGTCCTCCTGCCTGTCCACCAGCAGGCCTCCCCTCCAGGCCCTTGGCCCTTGAGCTCTGCGCTTGGCGCTTGAGTGGATCAGAAGACACGTTCTTGTCTCCGCCTGGTGAAGGTCAGTCTTTCAGCAAAAAGGGAGGAGGTGCTTTTCAAGCATCCGCTGGCCTTGATTTCAGGGCCCCAAAACAAGAAACTAAATACATACCGGTAAAAGCCTGCAGTGATATGTTCCTGCACTGCTTCCTCCTCCTCACTAGCTCTGTCTCTGGGCTCATCCTGGTTTGACTGGATCTCAAAGCGCTCTTGGCTTTCCTCATAGTCTGGCCTTTTGGTAGGACTTCCAATGCTCCACCCCCGTGGCTTGGCATTGCTTCCTACCATGGCTATACTCAGCAACGTCCAAGTAAATAGCATTATTAAGAATATGACTTTCTGATGTAAAAGCCAACACATTAAGTACACATTGAATTATAGCAGTGTCACCCCATTGCCTTCTGTAGACCTGCACCAAGAGAACCGAGGGCCAAATTTCACTGATTGAAAAAAAAAAACCCCACAATCCTCCTCCCCTCTTTTCTTTTAATTATATTTAAGTCAATGAGTCCCAGGGCAGACACAAGTCGGGTGCAAACAACCAACCGTCGGGTCTTTGTACAACGGAAAGCCACACGGACTAGCAGCTTTCCATTTCCCGCTATCCAAATAGTAATAACTGAAACGGTGTTGATTGGCGGGGGCACATTTGTTACACAGGGCTAGTGAGCACCTGTTACACGCCACGTCTTCCCTCCTCGGATCTATCAAGGCAAGAGCGATGGATGGGGAGTGTCTAAAAGAAACGTTTTGCGAACTTTCCGTTCTCCTCCTATCTTTCATTTTCCTATTCTTCCAGCTCGTGCCTTAACATCCCTCCATAACTAGACAACACCACAAGTTCCAGGGCCTGATTTGTACGGGCGTTACCAGTCAGCGATGATGAAACCCTTCTTACTCAGCTTTCTCAGCTGTAATTCTGGATCCTGGCCTGGGTTCAAATGATGCAGTTTCCAGCGCTTCTAACTTTGAACCTCTGGGTCTGGGAGGCTTCAGAGCCAAGGGTCTGGGTCACCCCATTATAATGATGTTCTGGTTATTTTTTCTTGGTTTTCAATAATCCTCCAAGGGAAAATTCCAAGTGAAAGAGACCTGCCGCTGCAAGCCTTAGGATCAATGGATTGCCAGGTAGGCACATCACCTTGCTGGTACTTTTGCAACACGGGCAGAGACGAACAAAGAGATCAAGGAATGTTTGCTGCGTCCTTGTAACGTGCAAGCGCAGCCAGGGCTTGGGGTGGAGGCGGGGGGAGGAAAAATCTTTGGAGAATCATTCAGGATACTCTTAGGAAAGTGTCATAAATTCCTCCGGGTGTTCTCCTAGCTAGCAGCTCTGACATGCAGTTAGATTCGGATTCCCAGTCCCAGTCGCGCATTGGGAATTGTTTGCCTTGGGCTTTGCGTTAGGTAAATGCTCCACCCAAATTCCCCAATAAAAGCAGGCACAAAAAGGCAGATACAAAGTCTATTAGGCCCCGCAATCAACAGTGACAGCATAAAGGCAGCAACCAGACAGTCACTTAGGGAGAATCTCAAAGTCATCTACTGTCTGTTTGCAGGGGCTTTAAAGACACCAGATTTGTGTGCTAGGCTCAGGCCAAGCAGATTGTATTTTAAACGCTTTCCTTGAATTCAAGGCTTTGTTTACTGAACTGAAGTCCCGTCCTCCCACTCTCCCCCCACCCATGCCCCCCTCCAAGCCCCAGGCTTGAAACTTGATTTAAAAAAAAAAATAGCAGATTGAATTTCAGTTTGCAGGATTAGGGAGAAGACTTTTAGGGGCTGCTTGTTGGAAAAAAAGCAAAGCAAAGCAGCTGGGAGGGATTAGGCTGAGCTGGCGTCTGCACTTTCAACTGATTCAATTTTGCTCCACAAGACATTGTATCTGAGCCTTTCTGGAGACTATTCAAAGCAAATCATTTTCATTTTACCATTTGGTAAGTGATCAGAGTCTATTTTTAGTGCCTTGGAAGGGTTGGGGCTTTTCTTTTCTTTTCTTTTTTTAATACACAACTGAATTTCTACATTTTGGGGGCATCAGGAACAGGCATGTTTGCAGGGAACATTTTCCACAGCTCCCGGCCTCCATTTATTTTATGCCTTGCTGGAAGGAAAAAACCCCACTGACGATGGGTTTGAGCGGGCAGGTCTGCCAAGACCCCCTTGCTCAGAGGGAGACTCCCGCAGCCTGTGCTCTTCACTGGTGCTAAGGCAGCTTTTAAATGACTCTGGAGCCTGATCCTGCAGGACTGCTCACTGCGGAGCAGGATCCCAGCGCTGTAAGCAATGCAGCAGCAGTCACCGTGGGTTGTTCTTGCTAGGCTGGTGTGCAGAGTAGAGGGAGCTGAGCAGGGAAGGACAGCGAGGTTAGTTACCAGCACAGACGGGGGGCGGGATTTTTTTGGAAAAATGAAGGGGGGCATTGGTCAACAAAGGCAGGCTGGGCACCGAAACGTCTTGTGAATCTGTGGCAGCTTCACTACTTTTTATATTTGGGGGGGAAGGAGGGAATAGCCTGAAGTCTAGCCCTTTTCTTTTGCCATTATCAACATGAAATAAGCAGATCTGCCTTGGCTTTGAGCTCTTCCATCACAGGCGACATTGGCTAAACATGCGTAAAATTGAAATAAAACATCTCGGTTCCATTTGCACAAAATGTGTCAGTCAAAAGAAAGGACAAAGGCTGTTTGGTTGTTTGATTACATGTGGGTTTTCCTCGCTACAAATTTTAGGTTCCAGTTACTTCAATCACCAGTGGGCGACAGACCACAAGCGACTGCCTCCCTATGCCCCGCTGGCAATCAGAGGCCTGAGGGCGCGACGCCGAGAGACAAGTCTCCTCCAGGCTCTGCTACAGACTTCCCGTGTGACTCTGGGCAAGTCCCTTACTGTCTCCCGACCTCCTCTTAAGGGAAAAGCCAATGGGATCTAGTAGAGATGACTCACTGTCGTAACATTTTTTCCAGTTTGTCTTAGAGAAGATGACAGACAGTTGTATCCCTGTAATAAAACTATATGAGAGTTTAAAACAAATAAATAGTGTGTTCCATTTTATAGGTTTTTTAAGTCATTTCCATAAAAACCTAACTACATTCCTACGGTGACCTATAGAATTTCATAGGGATGAAATCCGTAAGACGTTTTCAGAAGGATGAGTTTTCCCATATGTCAAATGGGCCTAATTTATCATCGTTCATTAATTTATATCAACTGGGCATTTCAGAGAAAACACAGGGAACAGGTTCCCACCCTGTTACTCCAACTTACTCCAAGTTAGTAGACTCCCACTCCTGGAGTAGTCCCGTTAGGGTCTATTGATGAAACCTGGTGCTATTCAGCAACTTTAAATGAACAACTAGACCAGCCAGAGGGGACAGAAGTCGACCGGCATCAGTAGCTGAGTGGGAGAGAGGGACTGGGAAATGCTAGGTCAGAGGTGGACGTCAGGCCAGACGTGACGACTCAGAAGTAGTGGGGATCTCACTTCACAATGCTATGCTTGTAGCTCCCCATGTAAAAAAAACCTGTAGGGTCTTAAGAAAAGGCAAAGGGTTTTGCTGTGATTTGGCAAGACCCACAAACTCAGCAGCAGGACTTTCAAAGGTGCAATACAGGCAGCGGAGCTAGAGCAAGGAGGAACTGTGGGCGCAGGCTGAGGAAGGGGGGAACAAAGCACAACTTTCTTCTGTAAAAGGCTGTTTACAAAAGACGCTGCAACAGATTCCCCCACACAGGCCCTTTATTTATAGATCAGGAGTAGGAGAGAATGCAATAAATGCATGGCATGCAGCGAAACAATGGGGGGAAGGGTCTTTTATACTAACAAAAGTGGGTTTGGACAAAGAAAAAAGCCCTGCAGAACTGATGGTGGCGGATGGCATAATCTCCACCATGCTGCCTTTCAATTGCGGGAAAATATAGTAAAGCAATTTAATGAAAACGCTTAAATAAGCAAACGGCACAGTTAATTGAACCCATATGTATTAGGACGGAAATCTAAAGTATACTGATTCATTAAGTTTTATATAACTGTAAACTTCCAGAACCTAGGAAAGAGTAAGAAGCCATGATGAAGTGCCAACTAGAAGGAGACCGTCTCCCAAGCTCCCTTCAATCTGTTTTGTTTTGACAAGAACAAGTGGTTTTAACAAGTACCCCATAAATCACAAGTGTACACCAAAGCTGGGACTCCCCCAGGTACTGGGGTCTGCTGGGGACTTTTCTTTTTTCCCCCAAGAAACAGAGTAACTTGCAAGAAAACAAGCGCAAGAGCCCAGGCCCTGAGGCCTTTCCTGGTTTGGGGTTTTTTTATTCAATCAGGGACTTCACAAGGACATGCTTGATCTGTGCGTGTATTTGGGTTTGTTGGGGTTTGGGTTTATCATGCTCGTTTTGTGGCCCCGGTAGCAGTAGATCTTCTCTGAGTGCAGGTATTTTCCAGCACCTGCCACCATCTATCTACATCTCTCCAGGTCGAGGCATGTTCAAAATGGATATGCAAACCAAACTGCAGCACTGGAAACAGGAGGGAAGATTTCCTGTAAAACCGAGCTGTTTCCATCCAGTTAGTACCTCCATCCTCTCTCTACCCAAGCAAGGATCCCAAGCTAAACCTGAAGGTGAAAGCAAGCCTGACAAAATCCCCCCACATTTCAACGGGGCTGGGATTTCACCCCCAGTCAGAATCATTGAACTTCAGACGCTCGTGGTCCCGGGTCCCCTGTCTGCAGCTGGGGCCCAGATCTACCTTTGGCTTCCCCAGTTCATGAACTCCTCTCAGCTCCTTGCTCATGACCTATGCGACATGAGGCTATTCTCAAATCCAACTCCTTCAAAAACGCCAGCTAAGAAAACAGTTGATCCCTGCCCATGGAAAATACAGGGTGGACCTGAAGGACTTTCATGGATAGTTTATGGGCCTTGTCAGCCTGGACTGGAGCACCTTCAATTCCCATTAACTTGAGTCTGAGTTGTGGGGAGCCAGTGCCCTGGCAGGACATGCTCAGAGCTGCCATGTGGAGGACATCTAAAAGGGCTTTGTAGGATAGAAAGGACAATGCCCAATAATACAGGAGGTTACCTCAGCCTTTTCCATGTATGTCCTTCCGGTGATGGGCATGAGTGCCAGGTGACGGGACGCACCGCAGAGCCAGACTCAAAAGCCACTTTAGAAACTGCCTAGACTCAGTGCAGAGCTCCAGCTGAGGTTCAAGGGGCACTTGGGGGACCTGCTAGCTCAAGCCCATCGTTCATGCTTCCTCTTCTTGCAGCAAAATATAACATAAAGGATGCCGTTAGCTGTGGGAAGTGCTCTCTCCTAACATGCCTATGCCTGATGCCCCCAACACAGGTGATGCCCTGTTGAAAAGAAGAAACACAATAAAGGAACATTTTCCCCCATGGACCAACAAGTAAAATATTATGGAAAACTAGATTTATAACAATAGAGAGACAGACAACTAGTAACCTGGTCTGATCCTAAAATCAACGTATAATCAAGCAGCAAAAGACTAATGAGAGCTGCAGGATCCCCACGTGGTTAAAAGTGTGATCTTTAGGTTCATTTTCAGTCCTTAAATGTTAAAATTATGGAAATTCAGGAAAAGCAATCATTAAAGAGATGTATCCAAAGGGACCCTAGTAAGGAAGGAGAGAGACAATTTCATTTATTCTACTAGATGGCAACTACAACTAAAAATACGTTAAGGTGTCCGAGGAGAAGTGAAATGTTGGCCCAAATTCAACCACGCACTTAGGCACATGCTTGGATATTAGGATATACTTAAGATCGTCTTTACTCAGCAAGAAGTGTGTTAATGCTCTATTGAACTCAGCGCTAAGTACGTGCTTAAAGTTAAGTATCAGCTTAAGTGCCCTGGCTGTTGTTTATCTCTAACAATTGGTGTGCTCTGGAATAGCTGAATTGAGTATAAACTTCATATATCTATTTTCCCTTGTAAATAGTATCCATGGCATTATGTACATCATTGAATGATCTTGCAAAATCCACAATTAATGCATCCCAGTAGCTTACAACTCATGCATGTTTCTCGAAACACCTGGTCAATAGGGGACTTGTGTGGCATGCGTGCACATGTTACACATCCGATATCATGCTTTTCTCTTAAGAATGCTTTAGAAAAAATAATAAGGTCACGAAACAATACAGCTTGACTCAACATAATCCCTACTTCTCTTGTTAAACATGCACTTGCCATGTCCAAAAAGGTTACTTGATGCAAGATTACTTAGCTTAAAACCCCATCAGGAAGTGGAAGGAACACCCAGCTGAAATGGAGATAATCCCCCATTTTGACATGTAAAATTACTGTAAACACCACTACCAAATGGAGTAAACCACAATGGAAAGGATACCACTCATTACAATTAGCCACGTACGTGCCTCCAAAAGGCCACCAGTACCTTATAAAAGACAGCAATGAAGGTAAAGTGTCCCTGCCCACCTTTTTCATGACACTTTACATAAATGAATGATATTTTTTATTTTCCTTTTGGCTCACTGAAGTGGCTTGCCCTGTTTGCTTACAGTTATCCTGTCCCTGTCTGCCTTGGGGGTCTGAGTCTGCCGATCTGCGAGGGCAAACTTCTACATCTGCAGACTTTCCCCAGGCAAGCTCCCAGTTGGCACCTGTGTTATTCAGCATCATTACACAGCTTTGCCCTGGTTTGGGGGGCAGAAGATACCCAACTCTGTCCCTTCATCTCACTCTGACTCCGCCGGGCAGTTTCTCGTTCAGAGTGGAAAGAGCGAGCTACGGCTGGATTCCTCCAGGTGAGTCCTCAGCAGGGCTTGACCAGTAAATATTTAACAAGGAGAACTCCCTATCCTTTCTTTCCTGGTATGTATTAAACCCTTGCATTTATTTTAACAAGGGAAACAGTTTCCCTGAGCTCCAGCTCAGTTTGGGCCCTGGATGCCTCCAGAAGACGAAGTGAGGGAGGCTTCTGGGAGACGAATTCACTGGGCAAAGTAAGAGGTGACTGTGAGCCCTGAACTTGGAGTCAATGGGACTTTCCGCTGCTTGGGTGTGCTGGGCTCTGGGATTTGGGGTCAGGCCCACCTCTGGAATAAAAGCTACACCCAAATACAGTTACTGAGTCCAGTTTTTTATCGCTTTAGACGTCTTCCATGGCCAGCATCACACCCCAATCCTCAAGTCTTCTCATCACTGTCCTGTCTTCATGGGAACCAGGGTTAGACTCCTCTCACCCGTCCTTTCAAGGCTCTACATGGCCCTGCCTTGGCTTGTATCTGAGTGCTGGCTTTCTTGTACCCTCTCAAAAATAGCTCTGCTCCCCTGAGTGCTCCATTACTCTCCTCGCCTTTTACTGTGTCATCTCCTACAGCCGGGTGTGTCTCCTCTCCTGCAGGCCAAACAACCTCCATCACCTGTTCCAGACTCAGTCCTTTCAACTGTTTTTCACCACAAGCCCCTATCTTGGCCTCTCTCCCTCTGCTCTGGAAGTTGGACATTGGTTTGCAAAGGAAACAACCTAATCCAGAAGAGCCATCAGAGGTAGCCCATGTCACCCTTGGGCCTTGCAATGCTCACCCCGTATTGCCACTGTCCATCCCCAACGTCTGCTTCTGGAGAGGTTGATCTGCAGGATCCTCTGGGCAGGGTTCATATTTTGCTGTTGGTCTATAAAGTACCAAGGCCCCGGTGATGGTGACTATACAAGTAAAACAACTGTCTCCCTTACCCAGGGACACAGATGATGCCGGGACCTTTGTTCGTGCAGACTCCCCTCTCCTGTGCCACACGACCTGCTGTTGAGGAGGTTCTGCATCAGGCATGGCTAGGGTCAATATGCAAAGCACCCCACTTCAGCTGAACACAAACGTGCTTCAAGGCTCAAGAAACATACGGCTGGGGTGAGCACTGAACTCCCCATGCGGCTGTCCTGCTCTGCAGACACTCCCTTTCCACACCTCCTGAAAACATCAGAAACCAAATCCCTCCAGGTCACTCCAAAGCCATCTTCCTTCCCAGGCAATACCCGCTCCCATGTACTCCTGCCTTCCTTACCCACTCCTCCCGTCATTCCCTGGTGTAGCTCCAATGACTTTACAATCTCACACCCATTTATTGCAATGGGAATAGCAGGCAACATATACGCAATGGAGTCTGTAACAGCAAAGGCATCCAAAGCCCACTGCTCATGCACCTACTTCTGCAGTAGCTGGCACTGTCCGCTCTCAGAGAAAGACTCCCTAACTAGACTATTTTAATGGGAGTTAAGCTCCTGCGAGGTTTGACTAGGCACCAGCCAGCCTCCTCGGGTACCAAAATACCCTTAAAGTCAAGCCTAGCTGCTGACTGGGATGACAGACATCTGTCTGTCTCCGTTATTCACCTGCACTGGGGCTCAGCTTTCCCACTCTGTCCACTGGGGAGAATGATGCCTGCCTGTCCAGCTGTATAAGGCATCAGCTGCCATTGCTATGGCACTGATGAACCTGGTCCTGCAGCATTACCAATAAGCAGGCACGTTCCTACCTCCAGCAGCAGCTTCACACATTTGCCCCAGCCACCCTGCTGCATGGGAAGAGACCCAATAACAACCCCAGAGAGCACTTCGCTGGGCTTAGCGCTCCGCTCCATAGCGATACCCACAGAAAGCTTAGCAGTGAGTATGTAGCTGTTGTGCCGGGACCACTTTTAAGCTGATCATAGTGATTTCACTGCTCCCCTGCTGCCACCACTCACTTTTTTTTCCCCCTTGTCTAATCCTCAGACGCAAACTCTGGGAACAGAAGCCGTTCTGTTTTAATTGTACGTACAGCACCTAGCGCAATGGAGCTAGGCCCTTCCAGGCGCTACAGTAATGCTGGTCTCACCTTGTTGGGTTCCCTCACCTGACAACCATCCCAGCTGAGAACAAACAATGCAAGGGTCCCAATCTGGCACAAACGCTGCCCAGGAGAATCTGTTACCCTGAGTCCTTTCAGCTCAGCTTTTGTTCTGTGGCACCCCCCAAACGCTGTCCTGCCGTCCACTTGGGTCTTGCTTTCAAGAGCCATCTGCAGGGGGGGTGATCTGGATGCTCAGCCAGACAAACACCTCTGCAAGATGCAGCTCTGCCTGTATAACAAAGGCTCCTGGCTGCGTTTAATGGCTCACTGGACACGTTACCGTGGCCTTGGGTTCACCCACTCCACCTGCTGCTGCCCATTTATTGTGCAGCTGCTTTTACAGCCTGCGGATCAGCATTGCTGGGAGCAGATTAACTGACTCCCACCTTGTAAGTGTTTCCCACTGCCAGGCCTCTGGCTTTCACCCAGCAGGTTGCTGTTTAATTTTCTGCCACCTCTGCTTATTTCCCTGCATGCTCCAGCCAGGCGGCTGACTCCAGGTCACATCCGCTCCCAGACCCACCCTGGAGCTTAGGGCGAACAGCCATTGCCTGAGCCTTCCTAGGCAGGTCCTGGTGACATCTCCGAAGGGTCGAGCCAGAAATACGGGCTGCAAGAGTCTCTATCTTGCTCACGCTTTTCAGACTGGCCCTCAAGGAAATCAGCACGTTTTTAACCAGCTCCCGATGTTGCCTTGGCCATTAAAAGCCATGCCATGATCTCCGCTCCTCCAGTCAGACTCATGGGCAGGTCCACACAATTCAGGAGTCTCCTCCTGCGGGAGCCGTTGGGTGGGACCTCTGCTCCACCACCCAAATGTCTCGGAGAGCCTTTCCCCACCCTGCTTGGCTCAGGGCTCCGCTGGGACGCTCGGTCTCGGGGGCAGCTGGGGGACAGCAGTCAGTGCCCGCAGAACTGAAGCATGCATTTGTGAAGGAAACGGGATTCTCACTGCACAGAAAGACATCTCGGTTACTGCAGACTCCGTAAGACCTGGCACCAGAGCAATACACAGCACAACTGCATTTCGCACTGTCCCACGATGTTGCTCCCTGTCACACTGGCCTCTGGAGCAGACCGGCTTAGCAGGACTCTGGCCCAGCCCTGCTGGGATATAGCAATTTTCTGAGACTAGAAAAGTGCCTGTGATCCAGCAGGAAGTCACCGGACTTCATCCCCAGAGGTCCCTTCCCTGCCGCACCACCACCACGCTGATCGCCTAGCCGCTTAACCATTCGTGGCATGCCCTTCTCTTTGCACTGTGGGATGATTTTCCTCTCAAGCCCAGCACCCAAGAAACAGGGCAGTGCTTGCCTGAAAGGTGACCTATAAACATTCCCTTCTCCAAGCCCAATGTTTTGCCCGGTGATATTTTTGTAGCATTTCACAAACTTCCACCTGAATGGGAACTCAGAGAAACATGGACCATTTGCAAATACTTTTCCATGCCCCCCCCTCCTAAAACAGCGGACAATCAGTT